GTAACCGTAGTCTGGATCTCACGGAGCTGTTGCAGCAAACCTGCTTTCAACCCAAGGTGGATGTACATTCCACCGGCCTTCTGTCGCACGCAGCTACGACGGGGGGTTTTCATTACAGTCCGTGGATCTTTCGGAAGAGACGGAAAAAAGAATCTGAGTTCGTCCAACACAACGGCTAAACCGGATAAAGGTAGGTTCAGCCTTCGCGCCATCCGACGAACAGCCGTTAAAATAATTCTACCTGATTGTGAATGGTTTAAAAAGGATACTGATGAAAAGCAATATAAGTGCAAGCAGAACATACGGACTGATCCCTTCAACGACTTGCAGTGGGCTATCTTATGGCAAAAAGCAGGAACCGAAAGGTTCTCCAGGGAGCGCAGTGGTGAATGTCTTTCTGGCTCCGAAGTCCTGAAAACAGGGATCGGGGAAACCGCCGGCCAACATCGTGGTAAATCGGAGCCCAGTTTATCACCTGGAACCGTCAAATTTGACATACCTAAGCCTATCATCTGATTAGTCATGAATTTTACCCTCAGACAGTCGACTAGAGGCATTATGGACGCATTCATCAGTCGGGCAACGAAAACAGCCACTTGCCGCAAACGCCTGTCGTACTTTCCTATATAGCGTTGTTCTTGAAGAGCCTTTACGAGCAACACGAACAAATTTCGGGCACAGTGACGGTTACTTGAAATGAAAAATATTTTTTACGGTTTCGTTCACATAAACACACCACGAGTAAAACATATGAAAGCACAACAAAACCCACTCTCAGCCGTACGTGAGGACAAGCAGAACGCAGAGCTTCCCGCGAGCAATGGCACCGCACAGTAAAACAAAACCACTTAAATCGGTTGACCGTTTGCATTTCCTAGGCACACGGAAATGTAGGGTATTGTGTTTTTTTTATTGCTGTGAAACGAATAAAGAAGCTTTGATGTCTATTAAACGTCTCAAGCTCCCGAGGCTTAAAAGCCGAAAATTAGTGCAGAAGTTCTGCGCTAATTCCGCACAGGTTCTGCACACAGGAGCGGACGCGTACTAACTGGGAAATGATGAAATAACGATAATGCCTGTGTTTGCAAGCCTTCTTATCCCCAAACTAGTGTTACCGGCATAACAAAGGCCAAGGACACAGTAGGTGAGATGAGCAAACAGTACAAAACTATGCACGATGTGTCGTACTTGTGCTGCGAGCATCCACATTGCTGGAGAAATTTCAGAGCCCTCTAAGCATATCACCAGGACGTGATATGCAATAGGATACTTGAATATGATTGGCTATGTGAGCTCATATTTGCGACCAATCAAGGTCGTTAGCAAGAGTGTTACTCAATCGCTCGCGAGCCTAGTCTATTGAAGCGTGCCGCGTCGATTCTCGTTGTCGCATTTTGATGTTCGCCAGCTGCGGTTGTCGAAATTCATAAATTTTTCCTGAGGACCTGTATGCTACTTTTTTTAGGCAGACCGTTCCACACGTCTGCTACCTTAGATAACTGAGTTTTGGAAGGTTTCATGAAACCTGCAGGTGTAGCCTCTTGTGGATAAAAATGCATATTTATACTAATATTATTCAACTCGATTCTGTTATTACCGAGATCCCAGGATCATTCACTGAATCTTTCAAAATGTTCAGCCCTATCTAATCAAGAAATGAGGTTTGTTTTTAAACCTGCTGAATATGCGTTAATTACGGTAGTGAAGTGTCGGTGTTGATGATGATGTGTTACTAAAAGTCGCGGAAGTCAGAGATCTGGGATTTGCAACTGGCACATTGCGACTTCCGACCACAGCGCATGGATAACGCTGGATGTGGAGTAGGGACCGCAGGTGAAGAGAAACCGTGACTAAAGTTCTAGCCCATGTAAACGCAATTACGGAAACCGGCCCATTGGTAAACCGGACAGCATTTGCCTCACACTTGATGAGGAAACGAAAACAAACGAGAAAAGGAATTTGCCGAAGTATGCAGAAGAAGGAACCAAGCGGGCGCTCACCAGGATTGGTAAAAAGACATCTGGGTGGGCTGAAGTCGTGAGAACTGATCCAGTAAAATGTAAAACGGGCACGGTTGCTTCCCCGGTGAGTCGTTCTTGGTGTGTTCCATTTACGGAAATCGGACAAGCAGATTGGATTTCTCTCGGTGATTGAAAGACCGCTCGATGAGAAATAGACTAGGTACAAGATACTAAGGACTGTCCGTGTCGCTAAAGTGATAGAAAGGTCAGCACACTCGAGTGCGTTCAACTGAACAAAGGTCCGTTTTACGCCCACGAGCTTATAGGCTATAAAGCATGTCATGGATCTTCCGTTCGGCTGGGGGCCGAGGCCAATAGGTGGATATGAAGCAATCAGTCTGTTTATCAGCCATAAACCTTGTACCAAGGGTTCATTTGTTCCAGCTGCCACAGTTTCGTTCTACGGAAAATGGGAAGACAGGAAAGACAGAGTCAATCACTGGAAGTGGTGCCATAACCAGTTAGTTCTGCTACGCATTGAAGTCTGACCCACAAAGTAGTGAGCGGACACGGTTTTTTCTGGGACTCTTCGCCCAGCCTCTGACTTAAAAAGTCTGAATCGCGATACTGCGGTCCTCAAAGTTTTCTTGAGGGACCCTTCTCAGAATCAGTGATGCAATAGTCGAACCCACTTGGCTGCAGGGGCTGGATTGGCCTGAGCGATCAAGAAACAAAGCCTAATTGTCTGACTTCTAATGCCGGTTTACACAGGAAGTGTCTTGTGCGCAGCATCAGACTGGTTTTTAAGCGTTCCAGCCGTATTAACTAATTCATCAGCGATCACGATCAACCTTTGAGCAATCGGAGTGTATGAGTTTTAGGGCCTACGTTTTCCAACCCGTCCTTCGGGGAACATCTCTGCTTCCTGAGCTATGGACACACTGTTCGCCTGGAAGAAAACATTACTATTTTCGCATTCCCATTGCAGGGGACAGTACAACTTAACTTCCAGTCCGATTTTAACAGTCTATTAGCAATCTAAGACGCGTCATAATATTTACTAGAATAATCCTCTGGATCCTCACTAGCTTGAATGCCCTGTTCTTCCCTGTGGTGGAAGTGTTTCGAGTCATTCAGCACTAACTTGGTGCCCAATTGTCAAGCCGCACAACTTTATCTGTTATTCACCAACTCTGATGGCAGACCACATCACCTGAGGCACCAGGAACCTTTGGTGTTCAGTAACTGCCTGAAGCTAGTGATCCGTGCAATCCAACTGGGATGAATCCCTTCTGAAGTAAAGTTATTTGTAGTGCGTGCCAACCGCAGAGGAATCGGCTTGGCTTCGATTGTGACGTGACTTTCCATCGCTTACCCAACATCGTTTTACGAGGGAGCATGAAGACCTGACTCGATAACACTAAACATGAAGGAATGGGCCGTGTGAAACATATCTTCATACTCCCTCAATTCTCACAGCAGTGGCATGTGTTCAGGCAGCCTACTCTCTCGACTTTCTCGTACTTCAAAGATGCATTTAGTTCTGTCGACCGGTCAACACTCTTGCGATACGATGTGCCCCAGAAGTCCGTGAACATCGTGTGTTGTTTGTATTCACATGCTTATGGGTGCGTGAAAGTGTATGGAGAGCTCTCCAAAAGCTCTCCTACAAGCAGTGGTGTCTGGCAAGGTTGTCCACCATACTTGTTTAGTTTCGCCATTGATGAAATAACCAGGCGAATTTTCGAGGTTCCCGAAACTCCGATGTTCACATCTCTCCGACCTTGTTGACCTGGAATATGCAGCCGACATTGTTCTCATTTTCGAAAGGGAACAGGAATTGCAAGCATTATTAGGACCATGTTCAATTCATCCAAACCTGTGGAATGTGCTTCGCGCCTACAAAGTGCCATGTCACGGTGCGGGACTTACGGTTTTTGAATATGCCTCTGAATGATCAATGGGTAACAGTTGAAGTCGCATCATCTATAATGTTTTCAGAGGGGGCGGGATTGCTCAGTTGTTAGAACGCAAATTTACTGTCTTGAAGGCCCGTGGTTCGAACCCGACCTCTGCATCGCGACTTGGACAATCCGGCAGTATCGCAACCTTCATGGCAAAATGTGAAAGGAGCTATGCTAGCGGCGTTCAGTGCTGCCTGCCTGACTTCTCCAATTCGACCACAAGACCACTGGATGTCGTCGAGGTGCTAAGAAAACGATACCAGTAGGCAGCGAGTACGACGGCGCGCGCAAATCCCTCAAACACCAAATAGTGAAGAGTCTAAGGAAAGACCGAGAGCTCTGGTGGATATCGAAAGCTCGGGAGATGGAGAAGGCTTTTGCTACGGGGAACAGCCGTGCCCTTTATCAACTGATACGATCGACTGGCCCTAGGAAAGCAACGGTCAGCGAGACGATAGGTGAAAAAGATGGCTCATTAATTCACTCGCAAAAACGTCGACTGGAGAGATGGGCCGAACACTTCGAAGAGCAGTTCAGCTGGCCTCCTGCAACACAGCCGGTGGAGATAGTGCATACGGGCGAATGGAATGTAAACCTTGATCGCCCTTCGGAAGAAGAAATAAGGTATGAAATAGCCGTACTGGAACGTGAGAAGGCACCAGGACCGGACGGTCTGTATCCAGCCCTCTTCAAAGAAGGCGGAAATTCCCTGGTGACCCACCTGACAAAGCTTATTGGTACTATGTGGGACGAAGAGAAAGTGCCTGCAGAATGGGGCATGTCGACAGTTATCCCTATCTTCAAAAAGGGTGCGCGGACGCTATGTGATAACCACCATGTCATCAGCCTGTTAGCTGTAGCATCGAAGGTGCTCTCTGGCCTTATCCTTCGAAGGTTGACTGAACACAGGGAGAGGCAGATCCGTGAAAACCAAGCTGGGTTCCGTCCTGCAAGAGGTTGCATCGATCATATCTTCACCCTCCGACAGATTCTGGAACAGCGACACTGCTTCCAGCAACCAACAATGGTTGTTTTTCTTGGTCTGAAAGCTGCCTTTGACTCTGTGGACCGCCAAGCACTATGGCAGTGTCTGTGGTGCAAAGGTGTCCCGCATAAATTCTTGACCCTCATTAAGGCGCTGTACGCCAACTCCAGCGGCCGTGTAAAGGTCTACGGGAAGCTTTCTCCTGAGTCCACCACATCCAATGGTGTCCGACACGGCTGTCCTCTTTCACCTTTCCTGTTTAACTTCGTCATTGATACGATCATGGAAGACTCACTACCAGCCTCTAATGCCCGTGGGGTCGAAGTGCTCCCTGGGCCTCCGCTCACAGACATCGAGTACGCAGACGACATAGCTCTTCTTGGATCTGACCCCGTGGCAATGCAAACAATACTAAATAATCTAAATAATTCTGCCTCGCGGTTTGGTATGCGCTTCACACCTGCAAAGTGTAAAGTGCTACTGCAAGACTGGGTGGGCTCGAACCCTAACCTCATGCTTGCGGATGAACCGATTGAGGTAGTAGACAAATTTGTTTGCGTGGACAGCTGTATCAGTCCCGGTGGTTTGGCGAAAGATGATATTTCTATCCAGATTGGAAAGCAGCTTCTACAAACCTACGTCACCTGTGGCGTAGGCGTGACATCAGCTTCTCTGTCAGGGTCAAGTTTACAATGTTGCGGTGCGCTCCATATTACTATATGGCTCAGAAACCTGGCCGCTGCGCGCCGAGGACGTCAAAAGACTCAGTGTTTGACCATCGATGTCTTCGGAGCATTGCCCGAATCTGGTGGGAATACCGGATCAGCAATTCTGAAGTACGTCGAATAACTCACTGATCACACTGCATAGGTTGCCCTGGCTTGGCCACGTGTTGCATATGCCAGTCGACCGACTTCCTCAAAGGGCTCTTTTCGCACAACCACGTGAAGAGTGCAATAGAGCCAGAGGCGGTCAAACAATGAATTATGAAAGCCATTACCAGCAAACCCAGCTGCGCTGGTCACTGCCGTCTTCCTGGATGGGGACCCCGAGACGGGCCACATCAATGGCTTGAGACATTATCAGACATGGCCCAGTCGCGCCCTCAATGGCGCTCATGCATCAAAGCTATTGCCTTCAATGCATAGCTCCTTTTCCACAACCCCCCAGTTGACAGCCCACTGACAGTGCTGGATTTATGCATCAATTTATCAGCTCCCGCCTGCAATGCGCAGCTTTCTACCCCTCCCCCGCAAATCATCGGTGAACGAAACTGCGACAGCTACAACCAGTGTACGACGAGTACGTGGTTATTACAACTAACAATGATGATGATGATGATGATGATGATGATGATGATGATGATGATAATCTACCGTTTGTTCTGTTCTCTATGTTAATGGTGCGCCCTCAACAGAATAAACTCACATTTTCCCAACACGATTTGAAGCCCCACGCAAACCTTTCAGTGATATAGACAAGCTGAGCACAATAATCCAAAATCACTTACTCTCGTGTTGTGAATAAGTTCTCAGCCTTCACATGCTTCCAGTTAAGATTGGGAGTAGGCGACGTACTTTTTGTGTGAGGTTACAAATCCATTAATTTTCGTGTTTGATTGTAGTTTTACTGACTTTTCAGCCCCCCAAAATTATTTGAGCCTCATTTGCTATGGCGGAGGTGTTTGTTACGATGACTCCTATTCATTTCGACTCCATGAAAACCATTCGCTTTGAGCGATCAAGTAGGGTGGATGTGAATTTGGCCCACCACGTTGCCGGCGGACAACATTCCGGGATAGTTGTGAACAAGGGGATAAAAGGAACTGATGGCATGGTCCTAGATGTGCCAGAAATGCAGCTTGAGTTCACTTGTATTATGTTCAACAAAAGAACATCGGAAACACACGCAGTGAGTTCCCAATCTGGTTTACATTAAATTGAATGTGTTATGGTTTTTTTGTTGGGTTGCAGGGACCAATTACGAGATTCCTTTCCTACCGGGGGTCTTGTAAGCCGCCGACGGGCTGAGGCATCTGGTTAGTTTCGAAAAAGTATCTCGTGAAGAAATACTTCTTAGCGGACACTACCCTTGAACAGACGGTCGTTGTCAAGTTGTCAGCTCAGGTCATATACTTGTCTGTCACTGTTTCGCTAGACGGTGGCTTCTTGGGTTTTAGGAGAATATATTGCATATTTATGCACCCTGCTTGTAAATGCTGCATTGGCCGACAGGTACATATCCAAGAAGATCAGATCTTTCAACTGTCAGATTTCCAGGCGAAGTCAATTTTGAATGAAGCGAAGGAAATCAGCATCTCATTTTCTAACTGGGAAGGCTGAGAGGCTGACCAGGTAATGGGTTTCCGAATGGATTTCATACTTTATTCAAAAACGCCTATCTGGTTTGATGCTTTGGTGAAAAAATAACACGACGTTGCTAAAAGTAATCTCAATGGACACTATTGCAAACGGTCTATTCCATGGTACATACGGTATTTAGCGAGTGTTTAAGCAGTTTAAAGGGAGATCGGTGGTCAACGGCCTTTTCATATTTTGTGGTTTCACTTCATCCATTTACCATTTTTTGGGGTATCTAGCGATGGGTCTTCCTTTTTGTGCAATAAAAAGGTAATTGTGCAAAATTTATCAGTACCCCCACGGCGCGTTATCTTCAGGGCTTTGTTTCTTCGCGTCCATGAAACGCTTTGCAGCATTGCTTTTCGGAATCTATCTCTTTTAATGTTTGAATCAAAGTATTTGATTTGGATCTCGCGTGACACAACTCAAATAGCTTATCTTTGTTATTTTCCATCAATTGTTGTGCACGCGCAGCAAGCTTGCAATTACAGTTACTATTCAACTTGTACTATAGGAAAATCGACGTCTTAAATTCTGGTTCACTGAGGGCACCCAACAAATCGCTCGTCTCAATGAATCCTACTCGTTTTTTCAAGATCTCGTCAACCCTGATGTGTTTCCACGAGGTGAGTCCATCAGTTTTTCCACCCAATGTGTCGTGCCTGTTTGTCCACCTGAAATGAATGGTAGTTACATTTGTATATTCGGTCACACCTTGAATTTCATCCGCTTCACTCTGGTTTTTATTTTCTCAATGATATTGCTTGGCAAACGCATCCTGAACTTGGCCAGAATTCCGTTTGTAATATCAATAGGTCGAATTGGGTTTTCAAGAGGCACCACTGTTGTTTCTATACCCAGCCTAACTCCATAGGTAATTTCACAGGCAATATAATACATAAGCTGAGTTACGCTGTTGCCTTTGTTCGATGTCCATGTATTTTGTACTCTGATATCCTTTTGATCTCTCAGCTGTTATGCTTCTTTCGAGTTACGGCTATGCATCGAATGATTTCCTTGGCTGAGCTAACGATGCTTGTCGGTGGAAGCTGCGTAACAGGATCGTTCATGTAAAACGAATCGCACGAACCGGTATCTGTAGAGTGTGGTGCACTTTGAATGTTTGGACAATCCCACCCCAGGTCTTTTCTCTCTTGGGCGGAGCAAAAAGAACGAATGAAGAACAGGACACTTGGCAAATTTCACATATCAACCAACTGTACACTTGAAACTGTCTCTGATGATCGTTCTCAGGGGTTGGATGTAAAAACTGGATCACATGAAATTCGTGTTCACTAACTTTGCATCATTTTTTCTTCACGTACTAATTCAATTGATGTTTCTTCGAATTCTCTCCCCATGGTCGCGAATATATACCCCAAAATATGTGCACAGTTTCGAAAAGCCTATTCAGAGTGAATGAAAACCGACCAATTTTAACTCATGCCTTGTTGCTCGAATATGGGGATGTTCAGACCTTCCTGTGCACCTGAAGTTGACAGTTGCGATCACTCGACAACATGCTTCCTTGTCAGCTTTCCATTCTTATCACTCGATTGTTTGTTTTCTTAATAGAGTCAAGGTCGTTCTGTTTCTTTGGACGTCCTGCAGATATTAATGTTTCATATGTTTTTAAATCAGAGTTCCTCTAGATCCTGTCTTGAAACGTGCACTTGAGAATTACATTGTCAGGTGTTGGTCTAAGATACCAACCCTACTGAACTGAAAAGAATGTTGAATGAAAAGTTCAAATGAAGGCTTAAATGAAGAATAATCTCTAATAGTGAGAGGTGGGTGTTTTTATGAATGCCTCATCTGACTTGCCTTTCCATGCTTCTACTGTGGATGCCCTGTTCACTGGTGTCTTGTAGTAGAGATGTCTCCTCTAAAATGAAGTTCGAAAGCCCTACAACCGGGTTGATAGGTTATTGGCTGTTCCCCCTAGGGAAGTTCTTAACTTCTTATTTAAGCCATCCTTGGATGATGTATGAGGCACACAAGATTGTCTCTTGGACGCGGTTGGAATTGCTTTCATGAGGGGCAGGGGGTAAACGATGCACCAACCACTCCGAACGCATAGTCCTATGCAAAGGACAAATGAATTGGAACTTCATCGATCAGCCCCCAGTTTATTGGATTACGGTTGCTTACGCAGCTTCAATGCCCTGCTGCTTAGGCGTTTTTGCCGGAGACTTTGGCAGTCCCAGGGTTTCGGGCAGCCGAGGGGTATCCTACCTGCAGGAAACAACTGGATTCATTGAAGTTCAGGTGGCATACATTTCGAACTCCATTTTTCATCATCTCAGTTTGTTGTAGGTGACCGCTTGTTACATCACAATCATCGTTCATGACCCACCGTTGGACCGTGGTGGATCATATTGAAGTCAGTTGTCGATAGCTGCAATACCCTCGGGTCTATGTAGGTACCGACGGTTTGCACGCAGAACTAGATTCGGATCAGCACAAAGCCTTCGTGGCTCTCTTAGTGTTTACAGACGTCCAGTGGTTTGACCGCTGTTGACCGGGTGGTTGATCGGGTGGTAACCATATATGTTCATGTAGGCGTGGGAATTGGAACAGTTATATATCGAACGGCTGATCGGAACGACACCACTCGCTTATTACATTCAACTGCGCCTACGCATTTTACTTTTCATCTACATCATGCTACGTGGATGGGCAAGTCATACTTATATCACCACGCAATTACTTAGTGTTACTGACGCCGGACGGTGAGGCGAGCGCGTAGGACGGACATGCAGCATCTCTATCAGTCTGCTTAGAAAGGTTTATAGCAAGCGAGGATTTTTTTCTCATAACATGTTCAATGCATCAATCACTACAACAATAGCTCAAATTTACAACCGCATCGGGTGTCAGAATTTTATCCTGCTGACTGCTTAAATTGCAAGTTGGTTTACAACACAGCCGCAAAACACGAATCAATGTTCATTCAAGAGTTTCGCGTTAGGATACCCTAGATCGTCACTCCAGTCTAGGTTGTGACCAGCAGGTTAGTGTACAGCACGCCATCTCGTGTCCAAAAATTGTTGTGGTGCCTGCGTTTCACCTCCTTCTTTCTACTCATTTTACCCTTGTGTAATTCCCTTAGATTATGCCGGATTCATCAAGAAAATACTGGACCAGCTACACGGGTCTCGTTTCCCTCGACTCCGTCGCGTCGACCTGGATCTGGTAACACTCGACCCTCGGGAACAAGAGGCTCTAGTACCAGGTATGTTTGACTGTCTTTGTATCTAAATGTCTATTCCACGACCAATATCGATTACTGATGTCGGACTTAGTGTGGGGTTGGTGCGTATCGGAGAACTCAGTTCGAACAAGCTACTTTTCGATCTAGCGCAAGTTTTTTTTATCTATATGTGGCATGCGATTGGCCTTTTTTTAATACGCACTATCAACCGATGATCACAACCGCTTGGTCTGCCTACTACTAGAGAGGAGCCGTTTCTAGTTGCATGCATTGATGGTATACACACTTTGGCTCGTAGGAATGTCCGTAACGCCACAGGCCACTGTCCATTTAGGCAAGTTTCAATTATAAGTGTCCGGCGAGTACACATTGTTTCACATCAGTTTTACTTCCAAACGACTCGGTCGATGTTGGATGGATCTAAACATGTGGCTCTTAACTTGGTGTATGCGTACCTTTTGGGAGCTTGAGACAATTCGACTTTTTTGCGAGTTGGTTGCTTTAAAGAAACGATTCCCGAGTTAATTACCTCTCTGTGCGTAACGCCATCACGTGCATTTCACATGCATTACATGAACAGTCAAACCAGAATAGCCATCTGATGTTGTAAGGTGTTTTAAGTCATACTTCAATAGAGATCCTGTTGAACGAAGGAAGTTACGCACGGTTTAGTATGCACAGTCCCCGAAGAGAGACTGCTTTCCAGGAGGGACCTAGTGTAACCCCTTCTTAAGGTCCGATTGGCCGAGTGTGTTTGGTGAATGGAGTTTGTCTCGTTGGGAACTATAAAGTCTGTTTCTGAAGTTAGGAAGGCGTAAGATGTTGGCACTCCGCCATGTACCCGGTCCTCACTTTATGACGCTTGTTCCCTTTTTTCAACAACGCTCCAGGGACGAGTTGTGAATCCACTTCGTCAGGGTCATTTTTATGAGATCAGGCCCTTTTGGTTTGAGCTTCACGCTGACAACACCGACCGCTGCGCATAGGCTGGTATGTTCCTTGCTTTCAGCAATCTGTCTTCTCGAGGTGTCTGACAAGACTATTTCAGGTGACCGGCGATTTGCGATGTTTTAAAACCGTCGCGGATCTATCTGTCTCTCTAGGTTAATCAAACTATGCCTCCGTTGCACCAGTAGACAGAAGATTTCGATTGAGACTCTATTATGCACCAGAGAGTAAAACAAAGGATGGCACGCGAATCCACATTCTTGAAAAGTGATGAGCGGTATGCCCATCACCAGACATTCCAACGTTGCCCTAGTGTTTCTCTCACAAAGGACTGTATTGTCCGACAGTCAAAGATGGCAGAGGCCAAAACTATAAATTAGATTAATTTTTTATTGTGACAGTACGCGAGCTGTCCTGAAAACGCTAATTACTAAAACTTGTCATCATCATTGTCATTTTTGGCCTAAAATGTTGGTTCTCTTTGAGAGACCAATTTTTCTCTCTAGGCCATTTGTGTTCGCATTATCCATATTACTGTCCGTTCCCCAAACAACACTCAGTAGCATTGCTTGTTAATTTGGTGTACATAAGCGAGTTTTCTGAGGTTGAGGTCAGATTTCTCCAAGAACCATGCGTACCTCAACAGTAGTCAAATGGTCGAACTGTCGCTCGCTGCTTGTTGACTGACCTATCAAGAAAACATCAGTGCAGAGTTAAAATATATCAGTGGAGGCGAGAAGTTCATCAGTGTCAAATTATATGTTTGGGGGAGGAGGAGGAGGGTTCGAAGAACAAACCAACTGGGATACACTGCATGCTGTGCAGCCATGATATCACCAGTATGATAAAGTAGCCCTTGAAGGGGCGAGAGAAAGTTCGACCCTCGTCTCACATATTGGGCAACCTATCCGAAGAATGAACAGAGAGCAATAGGGCTGAAAGTTATCTTACAGTATTCGCCTGTTTACAGCAACTGAACTCAACGAAAAGTCAAGAAAAGTGTGAATTATGTTGGACCTGTCTCCACTTACGATTGTCACGGTTTCAACAGACAGTAACCACAGGGTAAAATCTGGTCCGAACGGGCTGGTTCTAATCCCCGCTGGGCTTGGTCAGGACCGGGTGTTTTGTTGAATACAAAACCCAAGGAATAATGATTCGGAGTACCTTTTGACCCTTTGGTTGTACCTTCTGACCAGTTTATGGTATCCTGTGAGGTCTTGGCCGTGGAGACCTCAGCATGCCAGCCACATTTGTCTCCACAGGGTTTCCATAGTTATTTCATGTAAAAGTCAGGTATAACAGAACACACTCAAATGGGTAAGCGAGAGTGAAAGGACTATGCACAGGCTCGAACAGCTTCTGGACACATTCGAATGTTTTGGAGAACCAACGGAAATATTCTCAACTGCGACTTCCATCACAACTCGACATTTGTTAGCGTACCGGTTTATGGACATCTTCAAAGCGTTCTTACGACACTTCGTGTGAAACGATAAAAACATCTTAGCAAAGTTTTTAGTATGATTATCGCCTTTATTAGTATTAATATTATTGTTAGCAAGGCTCTTGTCAATTTGGTCGGACTTGATCTTAACATTCCCTCGAACTGCACGACAATGCTTCTGTCTTTAACACCCTTGCCACACCTCGTCCTCAGTTACTACGATAGAAAAACCAATCAATAACCAGTCCATCGTAATTGGGCTGTTTCTTCATCTTCGTTGTATAAGACACTCTACCCTGAGTGTTGACCGTCATTGTTAAGATTTGGAATCGCGGAACGTGCACAGTCTGTCACATATCCCTTTTTCACTTGCCACTACACCTTTAGCCGGGCCACATCCAGCAGGTAATCTCAATTACTAAAAGTCCGTTTTCCGGCTATCGCTTCACCTAACAGTTTCTTCATGAGATATGCCGGCAGTGAAATAGCCCTCTTTGTATAGGGCATCACTCTACGCTGCAGACCGTATTACAAGTCCTGACTGGTATCAGAAACGATATACCTCTGCTAAATTCCCCTGCTTGAGCTCTGAGTAGTCAGTGGCAGGGCGAACGCCGCATGTTTGTCATGATTTTTACAATACTGGTTTGCGGTGCTATGGTAAGATATCATTCGTTTCTTCTGCCGAACCCTTTTTGCTCAGCAGTGGGACCAGATATTTTCATCGGCAACTCGTTTCGCGTAGTTCATATCCTCTGAATAGATTGTGACAGCATATAGTTTGTTGACAGTGATTTCGCTAACTGTAACGTGTGTACAATCGATACATCTTTATTTCGGAGGCGATCTCCATTAGAACGATGTGATACCGTCTCGGGTACGTTGGAATATCGGTATGGTGTACCCGATGCCTCGTTTTCATTCGATTACTGACCTTTACCTTCGTGGTTGCGTTATCAGTTCGACGCGCTTATGGTAAGTGTCCGGTAACTGGCCGACCATTCTACGTGGCGCATGCATGTTTTGCGTGCTTATACCTACTGGGTACCGTATGGCTGCGTGATGTACTTTTCGTCAGCGACTACTCAACGATGGCATCTTGTGACAGATTTCGGCTTTTGACCGATTTTCCAATGTGCTTCTGGCTTATATTTTGTCTCGACCCCATCATATACCCAGGAGACGTGCTGTTCGCTTAGTTTGAGACTGTCAAAAAAACAAACAGCGTCGCTTGTGACTCACCATCGCTTTTCTGCCGCACCAGCTAGGTGTAAAGTGGTGGTGGTGGTGATGATAATGCACAGGAGTGGGTCTTTGTGCATGGAGCGGTCGCATGTAAACAAACGCTTGTTCGGTTTGCCTACGTTCGTTTGGTTTGGCCATGGATCAATCTCGCTATTGGTCCACGATACACACCTATGTGTGCGGCTCTGCAAGTTATTTCGGTTTCCGTGCATGAACTGTGGCTAGGCGAAGCACTCACCCTAGCCTGCTTCCCTGGCATGTTTGCCTTCGGCTGTTCACAAGGCGGATTCGACTTGAAATCTGATAGGCTCGTTTCATTTCATAGTAGCTTTTTTACTGCTCATATGAGCTGAAGGTTCAGGCAGCACAACTATCCTCACATTCCGTACCTCCGTTTTTGGCAAAGCCTTGACATGTATGCTGAGAAAGCCTGTCTTAGTTTTACCTAACGCAACTGAACAAGTTTTCGTGCCTGGACCTACGTTCACCTGATTTGTTAATCTTTTGAACCGTGTACCCTGTGTAGGGACTAGTGTGTCTGACCCAACAGTTTCACCTCCCCGCGGTTGATCTATTTGTTTTCGTGTTCAAGTAGCCAAATTTCAAGCACGGTTTCTCTTAAAGAGGAAGATTTATGCTTACGGTTGTTTCAGATGGTTCGCTAGTCAGTGGCCTAGCGGTCTCTTGTATCAGAGCTTCGAAGTTTGTTAGCCTGAATCAACCTTTGTAGGAACTGTTCGAATTGGAGAGGAATTTCCAGTCGCACGATCAGTTGGCTGAAGTCATGGATGTATATGGCTTGACTCGAACGTGATGTTTGCCAGTCTGCTTCCAAAGAAGACCCAAATCACCAAAAGTGGAGTTAAATGTCTATTTTTAAGCTGAGATCCTGTTAACGTGAAAATCCACTAATCGACTTGTCTGTGTTCTTCAACCGGATATGCAGTACGTAGGCTGCCTTCTAACCCAATTGTTGTCTTATTTCACGATTGGTTTTTGCCTAAACAAATGGTTTTGTTTCGATTGTAGGTTCGTAAGTTTGTGTTTGTGACCCTCGACTCATGTTTTTACTTCACCATGTTTTGGATTACAAGGTAAACAGCAGCTTGTGTTCAACATCAGTTGTTCAGATCTGTGTTTGGTTGCGGTGCACTTGTTATGTATCTCTCACATTGTTAGCTGAAAAGTTAGCTTTATGTTTGGTAAAGCTGGTGTGCATCATTAGCCAATATGCGAGGTGAAGTGGAGTTTCACCACCAAACTGGACCACCTTTTTATAGCTTTTGTTAGATGGTGCTAACTCGTTCGCACTGAGGTAATTAGATGCTGAGTTTACAAACAGTTCCATTGAGAAGTGCGTCCCACTTGTTGGGTTGTGGGC